AAGTGCATTTTGTGTTCACCTGAGATCCCCGTTCGTGGTTCCTTTTTACGCAAGAATGGCGTTCGTATAGATCCAGATTAAGTCATAGCTATCAAAAATTGGCCTGTGCCAAACCATATCAAGCAGCTGAGACAATGACCAGTCTAAATCATTTATTTGCACAAATACACGCGCAACTATACAGCGTCAATGCAACCTCTAGCGATTTTACAGATATGATGAGTTACGTCCCCCCCTTTTAGGGGTCGTTTAAGCCATGTCAAGCACGTGCTGTAGGATTTTTCATTACACTCTAACCCGACTCTACCCGGCCCCGGGGATCGAACCCAGGACCTCCCGGTCCTGAAGTGAGCGGCGAACCACTGCACCACAGGATCGGTCTAGCGATTTTACAGAGGAACGTTGGGTGGGAATGGTTAGAAGATCATCAGCGGTATTTGCCAAAGTGGAGCAAAGATTGCAAGAAGCTCCTGCCGTTGCGATTGCAAAGCACGGTGAGCCTTTTTGTGTTCTCTGAGATGCGAGTGATGTTGACATTGTGCGTGATGCAACACGATGATGAGAGTTGAGAGCGAGTTGTTTCGTAACGGTCGCGACAACTTCGGCCCGCGGAATCGCTATTCCTAACAAAAAGCTTCTAGTGATGAAGCCCACTTTGTTCAAATTGCGTTCGTACTTGCTTAGAGAGGAGCGTTTTGCAATCTATATGGGCCTTGCCACGCTTTGTACGGAAATAATGACCACACATTTATCCCAGAAAAAACCGCAATGATTTCTCCTTCGCAAAGTACAACTTTGTTATATACTACAAGCCAAGCAAGACATAAATCTTATTTGACACATTGTCAATATGTCTTGTTCATTATCCAAAGTCTAGAAGCTAATACATGCACGAACATGACAATGCGCGGAGAAATTGTGTTAGGGTACAAGTATGATTAGACTTGCTTGCTATGGTTCTTCTGACAAAGCACTGCTAGATCTTGCGTCTCTCACATGATTGCATGTTTATCCTTTTGAAATACACAATGGATTGTTGCAAAATGTGGTCGAGCATGGGGATGGGGTACCACAGGGGTTGTTGTTCCTTATCATGAAAATTCTGGTAAACCCTTCGGGTGACCGTTTTGGACATGAAAAACCTTTCTTAGTCTTTCTCGGGATTACTATTGGCCACACATATACATTTAAGACTGCAGTATAAGATGACAGGCGAGATCAGAGATTGAAACCATCCAGTTTCACTCAGACCCCACTTCTGTCGTTCGCAATACCAGCTGACAGCTGGAAGTTTGTGAGTATGCTCTTTATATTCAGAGTTCTGCGTGACAGACACGGACGTCATGGCATCTCCGTACAAACGGATCGGTTGCTGGGAGTTTGTGAGTATGTTCTTTATATTCAGACTTCTGCGTGACACACACGGACGTAATGGCATCCTTGTACGAATGGATCGATTTCGTAAGACATTTCATCTTGCGCCTGTTTCGGATAAGATCTCGGCCGCAAAAACGGCCAAGATCTTTGTTGACATTGTTTTCCGTCTGCATGATTTTCCTGTTGAGATGTTATCTGACTCTGACACCTTTTATACTTCGAAGATTTGGCGAGCACTTTTGGGAAAATTGGGCTCCATATTGTCCATTCTAACAGCGGCACAGTCTGATCCAGACGGTCCGACAATAATGCCAGAATCGAGTCCTGGAGGTCGTACTGCGTAGGTACGCTACGTCGTTCAAAAACTGGAGTGAATCTGAACCTCACGCAGAGTTTGCGTTGAAAAACACCATGCATGTCTCGATAGGTATATTATGCGAACTTTAGAATTCATCCTAATGTACCTGCTTCCATAACGGGCGAGATCTCTCTCCCTTTAGTGGGGGGACTATGGCTACGAAGCCATAGTCTGAACTAAATGCTGCCACAGAAAAAAAGCAAATGTTGATGTTGACTCAGTGAGACCTCTTGACGACAGGGCAAGTCGCGAGGAACAGCAAGTCGATGACTTTCATGCATAGAGACAAGCTGTTGTGTGATTTGCTTGAGATGCAATAGCGAAAGCTCAGATCTGCAACACGAAACAAGCAGATAAAAATTGAAGAAATAAAATGAAAGTATATTAGGTCAATGATCCAGTACAACTTAGCACGACAAATCTGCCTGATCTAGTGTCCGATTTATGAAACAAACAACTCTCACCAAAATTTTGTCGGACCGTCCAAGGTGTTAAAATGCAATGAAGTTGCTTATACACTAGTCATCTCTACACGCATGCACCTACACATTTTGTAGGCAGGCTCCAGTCGTATCCACCGAGTAAAATTGCCCATACTACTCTACCTTTGGTAAGTGATGGAGCTAATCATGAAGCTTCTTCACTTGACTGTGATGAGCAACCAACCTTTCACCCTTGAGATACTTTTTGGTGCACAAAGGTTGGAGAACCTCGAAGGATTGCTCTTATAACGATTTCAGCACTTGAAGGCTAGAATGGTACTTGCCGTGGAGTTCCTCAAGAACAGAGCCTGCCACTTCAACAGAGCAAATCGATGTTCGCGATCCAGCTCACGAAACTTTGCGTCGTTTTGGAGTTGAAAAAGCTCATCATGAACCTGCTAAAGCCGAAATTCAAAGTTGGGGTTCTAAACCGAGCATTGGTCGAAACCATCGGTCAAAACGTCGAATTTCGAGTTCAAGTATTGGCATGTTTGCAGTCTGACGAGTCTCTTCGATGTCTCGGGTAACAACATCTGCTCAACGTACCTAACCTTAACACACACATTACGCATATATTCAATTGGCTTGTTGATTGCAACGAACGATCTGTAGATATCACGGCTATCATGCCCACGGCATGCTCCCGTCACGAGCTCACACTGTATAATCCAATACAGTCTCATGCCCACCTGACAAGCCAGACGACAAACCACTACAAGAGATTACTTAGCAAGGACGATAATCCAGTCTTTGTTTAACATCATCTTCACAAGCATCACCGCTTACGCCCACCGTCGCCTCGTCCATCCGTACGCAACTCATCTGATGTCTCGGACGCACATATATTATGGGAGAGATTTGGCGCTTGCGCCTGCCTCTGTTTCATCGCATGTAAATCTTTTACTGGCTTTAAGACACTGACTTTTTGCTGTCATTGCACAATTAGACGCTGCATTGTTATTGATTCTTGGTTCAGTTGTTCCATCGCCGTCACACAAGCCACGTAGTTACACATCAGTTGGGGTGTTATCTTCACGGGCTCACCACGGCCTGTGCGCATCAAAATCGACCCGATCACGGGCGCGACCAGTAGTTCTTGGTGCGGTACTTGCTGGCACATGAATGAAAGGTGGTACACCTTCGCAATACCATCCAGGACTAGTTGTTCTATCTAAGCTGGCTATTCACTTTCAAGTACCATCTGCTTTGGGTTACTCATCATCGGCTCGTTTCAATTTCTATGTAGCTTCGGATGGTTATGATACCTCATTACCACTGAATGTTGATCTGAGTATTGATAAGTCAGAAGATTGTAAGAAGATTCACGGTTTTACGACCCACACCTTTCTGGTTCATATGCCTCTAATTTGCGCACTAAAACAAGCAAGCCAATTTCGCTTAAAGTTGATCAATTTACTACAGCGGAAAATGACAGCATACTTGCCGAGCTCGACGGATGTGCTCAACTTCATAACATATGAAGATGTGCTGACAACTGTTCAAGCCGACTGACTTACGCCACCCACTTCAAAAAACAGAGACACTTCGGTCTCGTCACCTGTGCGAATTCCCAAGGAGGAATTGACATTCTGTACCGCCCAAAAAAATTTATACTTTGAAAGAAAAATGTCACTTATGCATATAGGCCTGCCATACTGTAAACTCTTTGTTATGACTTCTTACAATGCACGCAGAAAGTACATAGATTTACCTTCATGTAACGGTTTTGTGTAGCAGATTACAGCCACTTTTACCCGGGCATGAATACACAGCGCATACGACGGCTTCATGTCGAATAGATGTGGCGCCTAGGCTAACGAGATGCCGTTGGTATTGCTATCGATATCCAATGACGCGCCTTGATGTCTGCGACCCGCTACAACATATCCCCTTTTGAATATACCAGGTTTGTGCATGTTCATTCTGAGCACCACCACAGGTATGCTTGTATTCTCGTCATGCCACTCTTTTCTGGTCATAAATACGCAGTCACTGCAGCGGGGCTGCCGAAGCTCTGTTGCTTAGAGGAAGATTGATTATCTAGTTCGGTGACCTTCGTTCTATACTTAGAATTAGTACGATTGTAGCGAATCGCAATCAACTTACTCCAAGAGTAAATACAACCTTAACCCAAGGCTAATGAACTCTTGTGCTTAGAACATCAACTGTATTTCTTGGTTTTATTTGCGGCAAAGCCGCTTATATCTTAACCTATAGGTTATCCTATGATGTATAACTACTGGCAGTCTAGCCACTTAGTGACTTCTAGTGTAGCCACACAATTGCGTGATCACGTCATCTTGTGTGACCCACACCCTTCAGAGCCAGGGCACGTGAAACCCCGTTACCATCATTGCTGAAACGCTCTACTGCACAGAGAAATTTGTTGCGCATCAAATACCATCCAACATGTACTTGACGAGAAGGAATCTAGCAAGATTCCACACTTATTAATGCTGCAAAAATCAATCACCTCGAAACATTAAACATAAATTATGCAATCGATCATCACAGGTCACAGGTTTCGGTTGCAAGGAAGATCCCACGCCGCATTCATCGTTTGCTTGTTCGAATGGTCCACAGCCCTCATTGGGACTTACAGAATAATTTGCGAGCATCTACAATTTATCCAGTTCGTTAAATTAATATCGCAAAAGGCACGTGTAGTCATTTTCAAATTCAGGTATGACACCACCGCTGTGTCGTAGTCGATGGAATCACGAACTAATTAGATGAGCTGTGCGCCGAACACTCCAAGAAAAGAAAATGGCACAGGAGTGAACATGGCAGAGGAGATAGAAATGAAGCTGCGCTGCAGTGTGTAAGGCAAAAGGAAGCGCTTTCTCCGTCAAGTTCAAGCACGATTTAGATGTGGAGACGCTGCAGAAGGCCATTGTGAACGAGAAAAAAGACGTCAATGATCGCTTCAAAGTCGATCCAGCCAGGTCAACGCTCAACTTGGCGTGTAAGGAAGAGGAAACCACGTGGTTAGAGGATGATCGTCATGTCGAATTTTTTTTGCAAAGTGGCATCAGCACTGAGTACGAGGAAATGTGTCCGTCGTGGAAGCTCAACAAAAATGATTTGTTCAGGCTGAAGTTCACGCCCGCTAATGAAGAACCGATCCACATGCTGGTGGATCTGCTCACGTACAATTTTGATGTGAAGCGACAGCGAGTTGTGCATCAAATGTCGCTGGCGGAGCTATGGGAACACTCGGAGTTGCAACTGGCGTTATTGCTTGCTCCACACCAGCTGGTAGAGACCCTCCAGAAACCATTGACGTTCAAGCTGATGCTGCGCGATCCGGTGGCTGCCGGTGGTGTCTTCAATCAGGATGGTTCACTCCTTACATGCCCGGATCTCGCGCTGTTAATGGACAATTTTTCTGTAATTGTGTATCTCTACACCTGAAGCAAAAGCGTCGGAGAACTCATGGCAAGGGTACAGTGATGCATTGCCCCGGATCACGAATTCCCTGTGGGCTTCAGATTTCGAGGATGCAGAATTCTTGCAAATAAAACAGGAACTACTCTTTTACGAAAGCGACCGGACTATATCCTTCTGTACAAGGGACTCGTCTTGTTGCGTGAAGAAGAGAAGACTTTTCTGGTGCTAACATCTGCTGCACGAGTGTCACGTAGCGCAGGCGAGGAAACGTTGGTGGAGGAAGGCGAAGTCGGGAGCGCAAGGT